AATCTCAGAAATTATAAAAGTAATGTCATGTCTGTGTGAGACTTATACAGAGTTTATGAATTATGTATATATCCCTGATGTACAAAATGTAGAGACACGTTATACTATGCACATCAAATAGAAATACTTTGCTAAACCTTATCTGTTATTATTCACATGGCAAGGTATAAAAAGTGGGGTAAATAATATTTTGCCTTCAAATGTTCAACAACATACTCATGCAGACAAAAAAGGAAAAGCATACAGTTGTCTTATAATTATGTACTGTAGATTCTCTAACAATTTTTGTACCTTTATATACACTCCTTCATACAATACCCAGTATTAATATAAACGATCAATATTTTAAAATAAAATCAGTAGCATATACCGTCTACAAAAAGTTTTAGAATGAATAAAATGGACATTCAATGTCCGTTTGAGCATTTGGCTTGTGTCCAAATGCCCTTTGTGACCTTTGGCTTGCTGAAAGACCCCGAAGGTGCTACGGCCTATAAACATGCAGTTCCTCTTGAGAGTCGAGACCTCTGTTGAAATAAACAAAATCAATGCAACGTTTATACCGTTTCCAAATAACAATTTAGCAACATATTATGAGATTACAAATAATGTGAACCAAAGGCAGAGCAGAAACGTGTGAAATGAAAGTGGCTTTTACAAGTGTGCCGAGAGAATATAAGAACAACAGGGCATATGATCATATATTATTGCTTGATGTTGCTATAAAAATTTGTTTAGCATGTTTTTTATAATTCAAGAGCAAGCAGAAATCAAATTTAGCAAGTATTTTGATGAATATGTGTTTCTGAAAGTTGATCGGTGCAGATCGAAGTGTAAAGTGCGGTAGTGGAAGCATGTAATATGATACTTTTCCCTCCCCCTTTAGGCAGGCAATTTTCTGGGAGTCATGTGACCAGTGGTAACCAGGGTTTTTCCTCACCTCAAGCATGATAAAACCCTGGCTGTGAGGTTGCACAGATGCAACAGAATGTCAGAGAACTAAAGGTAAAATAAGCTTCAGATGGACTAACGTTTTTGCTAAAACTTTTACTTATTTTCGAGTCAATTTCAATATCCAGTCATGATTCAAATCTTCACTAAGTGAGCAATTCTCATGTGTGCCACAAAATAATCGAGCAACAATGATCCGACAGCCAAAACTAACTCAAAGATATTCAGCCATGTAGAAATATGTCAGTCAGTTAGGTCCACTGGTTAGGTCAGAGATGATGAGATGAAGTCTATACTTAATCTGCATGACACGTCATGGTTAAGTTTTCCGTTCATTCTAGCTTGCTAGTTTGTTCATTTCACTCGGGTCTCTTCATAGCCTGTTTTAACGTCTCACCATTGGTCACTTGTTGCCCTTGGGGTTTAGCACAGTGGGCATGCACACTCTTGCTTTTGTGCTCAGGAGGTTGGTTGCCCTAGTTTAGCCTGCAGTTCTGCCCTGTAAGATGTGGGCGGCCTCCTGTGTGTTTTTACCTGCTGCTTGGCACTTTCCAAATGGGATTTAGTTAGTAGGCTTTAAACATAAACTTACTGTGATTGTTTTCCTAGTTAGTTTTGTCAATTAACAGGGCTGAAATGTGCCTTAAAAACCATTATTCAAAAGGCTGAACTGTGATATAAGTGTGTCATATAATAAAGTTGTCACTGTAACATTGTCAGCGGTGTTGTTGTTTGAGTTTAAGCTTGAAACTTGTGTGCCAATTTCTCTTGCTTGCAATGTGTCTGACCTTATTCTTTGATCATTCCTAAATGCCAGGACAGTTTTATACTCATCAAGGGGAGAGTCTTGTCACTTGTTCAATATAAATAATAAAAATTATGGTATATCTGTACATGTACTATTTGAATTGTTTTTATGTAAAGAATTTTATTTATTTTATATATAGTTGATTTTCAATCCTGCAGCAGTGTGCAAAAGAAGAGACCACTGTTTCTTCCAAACAAGCAAATATGACTGGTCGGCAAGCAATGGACTATTTCGGGAATTGTTGCAACTGAACAACAATGGGCTGCAAAATGCAACAAAGCCATTGAGTACTTGGAAAAACAAGATGCTTCCAAGGAATGCGAAACCAGTTAAGGTGTCATGAACTCTTGTGGAACAGCTCACTCCTGTTGCCAGTACCAAGAAAAAGTGTGGGGGAGAAAACCTCATTGAAGCAAAAGAATTGGAATACCAAAACAGAGCCAAAGAATGTGAAGTTGGTATGTAGAAATATATATGTAAAATATTGTAAAATAAAAGATTGCAAAATGTTGCCAATGAGTTTTTATGCATGATATTGTTAATGGAAAATCTCCCTTACATATTACTACCTTATTTACGATTGTGTGTGATGTACATGCAGTTATAACACAAGAGTGGCAGCTCGTAAAAATTTGTATCAACCCAGAGCTAGACTTAATAATACTTCAAAATCACTATCAACAATGGGTGTGAAAATTTGGAACTGTTTACCTCTATCAAATCGTAATTTGAGTAATCAACATTTGAAAATAAGTGTAAGCGAATATGCTGCTAGAAATCTTAAATTCTTGTGATGACTATGTTGATCTTGCCTAAATTATGCAGACAGCTTTGACAGTTTCTTAATTTAACAAATTATGATTTGAAAATTGATAATTTGAATTTACTAAATTGCCTGAAATATATATGGAATAATTATATTACATGTTAATGGTAATACATGTTTATCAACTCAAAAAAAAAGAACACATGGCCAGAAATTTCAGACACTATTTACTGACTATGCGTATCAAATATCAAAACATGACGTCCAGAAATAACTAGGAATTACTATATGCATTTCACAAAATGTGAAACAGAACTTTACCTACAAACTGATTCGAATTTGTCCACATTGAGCATAGCTGTACGCATACAAACGATGACTTTAAGCTATACTTGGAGTTTATATTCGCCAATGTGACCTTTCCGAATAAATACAAAGCAGTGCAATAGTATAACCATACTAACCTTGGAATATTGACAACAAAATGGACAAACGCATGGTTTTTACGATCCGACAATGACGAACTAAACAATGTTGACCAATATGTCCACATTGCATATCGAAGTTCGTATTTTGTACTATTAAATGGCCATTCAATGTTGAAAGCCAAACTTTGTTTGCCCTTTGCATTTTACGTTCAAAAACGTTCAAAATTTACAATATTACAATTCTTTCTGGGACTAGATTCCGTGCGTTCAATCACAAATTTTTCTCTTTTAAGTTACATATTTGCTTTCGTGCATGGTATCAAAATGAAGCTCGAAGAAAGCTTTTTCTTGAGACTCATATTACTAGAAGCTGCAATATTATCGGTCAGCAATATTGTTGATTTGTTGATTTACGTCATGTAATACTGCATAGTTATTCTTGCGTATCCGAGCGGGGGAAATATAAAGATATAATCATGGAGAAATAGAATAATAGCCATGACAACTGTGTTAGAAAAATATGTAAAATGGAAATTTACAAGTAACATTAGGGGTATAGTTATTGATGACAAGAATTGTATAAAATACACACAAATAAATCTTGTGTTAAACCCAAGCAAGTTGCCTTCACAATTCGCTTGCCATTTGGACTATTAAAAAGTTGGCAGGAACATTACAAGAAGTCTGTGTTGGAAACTATTCTTATGTACAAATACTAAACACATTTATTGGTAAAATTGTGTAGTTCCGAATAACTATACCTCCAAAATTTGATGCAGAATGTTTAGTCGCCAATTTGAGTATTTCAGCGATTACCCGCTGGTCATAGAATGGCTCAATGTCTTGAATTTCTGGCCATGAAAAAACAAAACCACTATATTTATTATATATATGTATATATATTATTCCTATAGCCAAAATACTTCTTCATATTATTTGGTTGTATGTATAATCCCCCGCCTAGAATAGCTTTGCTAAATGCGGGTGGGTTATTTAATATTTGCTTTTGTATTTCTTTTATTTTAATAGAATTGTAATTGTAAATTTTATGTTTCAAGATATAGCTGTTTTGATTAGTTTCAAGACTATGGGAAAATCTTAACAAAACTGGGACAGCTAAACGTCCTGAAACTTTATTTACAAATTACAATTTGCTCCGGACCATTACAAATTGCTCAGGACAACTTGTTAATATCAATATTGGAACATTGTGTCGCAAAGTCGTTGCAAGAGAACATCTGGTTTGACTCAAATGCATTGTAATGAGTTACAGAATCTACGGCCTTTATTTCCATAGTTATTTCTCTGTCTATACTGGACATCGCAATTTTTGCTCACCATTGCAAATTTATAATATACCTGTGTACCGCCCACCTGACAATGTTATTGTTTGTTACGTTACTGGACAGGATCCTGTCTGGCGAGTATTAATGCGTGGTGAGTTTTACAAGTCCCGCTCGCTCTCCATTTTAAGCGAGACATGAAGCACGTCTACCCACAAGGTGACCTTTGTGATTCAATAACCAAAGCAAGTGCCTTTCTATCATGAGTTTCCAACCTGAAACCAACCTTATTTTCAGGCAATACTTGGACTACCCTCAAGAGAGTCTGGCCAGAAAGACAGACAAGGAATCCAGTCAGTTGCCATTAGTTGTATCACCCAACATATTTCTGATGGACCAGGGAACAAAGGGCATTGTCCACATGTGTACTGTACTGATCCATTGGGGCTGCAACAAAGATCATGTGGGCAGAAAAAAAGATTTTCATTGGCCCTGTACAAGCTCTCAATTCCACTTCAGGTACGTGTACAGTATAGTGATGCACCATTGATCTAATATTTACAAATAGTATACAATTGAAAAAGGTTTAACTCTTCAGCTGTTGAACATTACGGTTCATAAGGCCAATTAAAAATAATTTTCAGTTTTTCATCGCCGCCCGCCCCTGAAAAATTGGCCGCCCGGAATAATTTTTTTATTATTATTAAATCGGAATTGGTCGGAAGTAGTCGGAAACCGAACATTGGCGGCCATATTGTTTCAACATGCCTTTCGTTGTCGTTCAAATACGAGCTGGAACACAAGTTTTGAAGCCCTGGATAGGCGTACGAGTTCCAGACAATTCTTCTTTAAATGATGTTTATAATGATCTGGTTGCAGGGATCCTTGATCAAGGTTTGTATGTAAATGTTTAATGATTTAAATATGTTAATATTATTATTTTAATATGTATAAAAATATGCAAATTTTATTTCGATATTTGGCGCCAAAATAGTGAGGTCCAATATATTCCGGCACTATTTATATATTGCCAATTTCAAAGCAACAGCACATCGACGGCGATCTATGTTATTATAAAATATAAAGTTTTAATAACAGCATTTCTAACAATTTTAATATTTTAATAATTAATAATATAAAAAAACATATGATTTTTTATATGGTTTTTGAATAGGTGAGCCAATTGATGATAATTCTGCAGTTCAACTAAACAATGTTCATGTCCATGTTGGAAAGAGCAAGAAAGACCTAACCCGAGTAGACAGCCAGTGCACAGTGGCAGAGGTAGATTCATTGTGTTGTATATTTTAAATATTTTGTTTCTGCAGTTCTAGATCTGTGATCATATTAATAACGAGTGTACCTGTGTACGGTTTATAACATATAAAGAATCTGTATTTTTATTGATTATTAAAAAATAGGTGGTTGGAACTCTTGGCAACTTCATTGAGTTTACACATGATGCAAATATAAATCGTACCGAGCCTCTTCAGTGTACCAATGCCTTCCACATTCTTACTGCTGCTGCCCGTACATTAACTTGTGTTCCAAGCAATGTAGTCGTTCACAACCAGAAGGATAAGTTAAAAAATGATATAATTTCCTGGTTGAAGAAAAATGGTGTTGGGTGGTCTCTTCAATATGTCGAAACACTAGGTATTAAATAATGTTATTATTTATGTTGTAAAGCTTTTATTTATACGTTATCAGTTAAAACATATACAGTGTATTTTAATAACTAAAGACGGTGTATGAAGTAATAAAATCGTGTGATATTAATAAATGTATGTATATTAACAGTAAATATTAAAAATAACTTAATGTGTGGTTGACATATAATTCTCTGCTCTTGTTTAATTAGGAAACAAGTTTTTGAACACACTTGCTGACGTGATGTGGTACATCGATGGCAACCATGTAACTCTTAGTTCCCGTTCATGTGCCGTACCTGATTCTTTTGCTCATTTTCAAGGGTACAATACACCCGAAAAGAGAAAGAGAAAAAGGATTGCAGCAGAAAATCTTAAACAAGCAGAACTCCTTGCATATTCTGGGACTTTATTCGAGCTTGCTGCAAATTCATTTATGAAAAGCGATGCATGGAAATGTTTGTACAATGCCATTCTTCGACTAGCAACAAACCTCCGCAAATATGCAGATTTTTTAAACAGCGTGAACATGGCAATTCATCATAACAAGATTCTGAAGGGAGCTGACGAAACTGATAGAGTGCAGTTGCTACAAAGTACGGCAGTCATTAAGCCTACATTTCAAGCAAGATATAAACAATTGCACACAGCAATTGCGCATGCTGATAAATATGAAGTTATTTGTGCTAATGATTATTCACCAGTGGAACCAACAAAAAAATACTCATTTTTCAAAGAATTACAAGTGCCTGTGAAATGTGTATTGTTCACATACACTGGTGCCAGAGAACATCTCTCTTTTATTTGGAAGGTACCCTTAGAGGGTGATGAAGCACCAGAATACCTTGAAAGGAATAACAAAAACATTGCTGAAATAAAGAACCTTCCGCATTACCACACAAGAGCAATGAGGCGAGAATTCGTACATAGCTTTGGTCAAGTTACCAACAGTAAGCCTGCCCTTCTCAGAGAGGCATACAGAAGATTAACAGGAGACAGATCAGCAGCTTCAAGCTTAACTGAAGCGGAAGTTGACGCACGTGTTGCCGAGATGTTGGAACTAGAGGACCCAGATTTAATATGTGACCTTCGTGTTAATAATGCAGGACGACCGCAGGAGTACATAGTTTTTCTTGAAAAGTGTCAACAGTACATTGAAAGACAGGTGGAGACAGCTGTTGATGATAGACGCCACGACCCAACTACAAGTGATGGTGATGTTGTTACGCATCTTGCCACCGCGATGAATACCAGGCATTTGTATGACTCGGTAGTAAAGGACTGTGGCGATGGTATACCAACACCTTCAATACAATGGTTACGTTTGCAGTTTTGGCCACGTCGTTGCAATTCCCTCAGTGCCACCAGGCAAAAAGGAACTCTTCGCATTAAATTCATGGTTCAAGCGCGTCAATTCAGGAAATCACATGTAGATGTGCACTATGCTTCATCTTTATTTAGGTACCAGAAAGAATTCGCCGTCAAATTCCGAGAATACTGTTCCTATATCAGTTGTGATGATAAGCACACGATTAAAGTAGGAGAACCCGGATTTCCTGTTGCTTCAGCGGAACGTGGGAAACAAGTGTTGGTCGACATGAACACAAAATTCCAAGTTGGAGACCATGACTTCACAAAATTTAAATTTATACCAAGTGTACATCTTGACATTGCTATCCCGGAAGATATCCAAGGTTCGTTTTACAGAGGTAAGGTACATGTTGGACTAAAAGATAGTTGCTTTGAGTCGTCGTCTGGGCTGCGCCATATGACCGAATTAAGGCAGATCATGGAACATTCAGACACAATCAAACCAATGCTTTTGATGCACACCGATGGTGGGCCAGACCATCGCACAACATACCTTTCAGTGCAGATTCCCTTGATTGCATACTTTCTTGACAAGGACCTTGACTTTCTTTGTGCAGTACGTACACCACCTTATCATAGCTGGAAAAACCCAGCAGAGCGTATCATGTCTATACTTAATTGTGCTTTGCAATCTGTTGGACTTATGAGAACCTCGACTGACAAGGAAGAGCTACTCAAGAAGTGTGGCAATACCACAGAGATATGAAAACTTGCTGAAGATAATGTATCCGTCAAAGAATCGATTCAAGACTCGCTGCAGGCTCCAATGTCCATGCTCGAAGGACTGATTATGAATTTAAAACTTAAAGAAGATCAGTTTTCTATATTCCAGGCGTCAAAGAGCGATGACATGGAAAACCTGTGGGCAAATATTTTGAAGATAGACCCAACCATGACCCGACAATGTACAACAAAGAAGTCAATAGAGAAGAAGCAGTTGTTTAATAAGTTTCTTGAAACCCATTGCAGAATACGACATTATATGTTCAGCATAAAAAAATGTGGTAAAGATAGCTGCACCATTTGCAAGGCACCCAGACTACCAGCTGAATTGTTCAACGAGATACACCACTTACCAGATCCAGAACCAAGTCGACCCGACCACTACAAGCCATTTGATGATGTGTACGGCCAGAAAACCTCGGAAAAGCACCGTCCGTCGTTAGTTCAGAGAAACCAAAGCAATCATGGAATGCCCTTTTCACCAAGTGCTCAGTGTGCCAAGAATGTCGGAATTGTGGTTCAATGTCAAGATTGTGACAAATGGAGATGCCTGTATTCCAAGAAAAAGATTTCGCGTAAACTGCATGGTAAAGTTGAAAGTGCGTTGGAGGATTTGTCCTACACATGTGGCAGTGTGTTCTCGGATTTGGAGGATGAAGAAATGAGAGGGGGTTTTGATTCAGTGTTTGTGAAAGCCAGTCTCGATTGCAGTCAACCAACAGAAAAGCCGTGGTATGCAGCAGGTTTTGAAGACATTTGCTTCTTTTGTGGCGTTGAAGACGATCTTAATACCAATCCCGAAAGCTATCCACTATGTGAAGAGTGCAAGAAAACTCGCAAACCAGAGAAGCGATCATCAAGAAAGAAAGTTTAAAAAAACTTGAAATTTGGCTACAAGTGACAAAGGCTATAAAATTATGTTCAGTAAATTATTAGTCATATACTTTATGGTTCATATTATTAAATGTTTTTATTTCTTTAATAAATGTTTCATTACGCATCAGTTCTGCGCTATCAGAGTACAACATGGTCTCGTATTTAGGCGTAGAAGTTAAAATGGCTCTTGACTGTGACTATTTCTTGCGTAGACAAAATGTGTGAAATGGAAGACAACCTTTTAATCCGTTTTTTAATAAAAGGGGAAATATACTACTTACGCTATTAAAAAATAAATAATAAAAAAAATTAAAATCCGCCCGCCCCCCGTTTTTCAAAAAATCTGATGAAAAACTGCAATTATTTTTAATTGGCCTAATGAATGTGTTCTTTTTTAGGAGCATGATATATGACAACAACAACTGCAGCAGGTTTGTTGGACCTAATGGATCATTTGAATTTTGGTGTGTGTCACATATTTGACACAGCTATACTGGAAGACATCCATCAATTAACTCATTAAGTTACAGACTGTTGCAACATTGGCATGCCCCAAAGTTGTAAGGAATATGGCGTTTTATGAATAATTTTAGTTACTGTCAACTGCCTTTACAAAAATACCTATATTCCAAGATCAATACAATAAAAAAACTTGAAATTTGGCAGTGGGTTAAAGTAATAAATAAGGTTTCATTTCATGTATAAATGAACACAAAGGTCCCCATGAATAATAAGTTCTGTGTGTATGAATTTTACGAATGATTAATTTCTGAAAAATTTATTTTTGTAATTTAGGGCATGAATATTTAAAAGCTTGATTTACTATACATTCTGATATTTTAATCATTTTCTTTTTGATATTTGTTTTACAAAATACTTCAAAAGCAAGGATTTTAATTCTGAAAGCACATGGGGTTGTATTAATGAAAAACGCTCAAATTTTGTGTTGGATATTTTTAAACTGATGAGTCAAAGTCATGTAAATATAAAATAGCTTGTGTCCTGGATATGAAAAATATTTGAAAACAAAAATCACCATCAGATGTATGCCATAATCGGTTAATTTTTGGTTAATTTTTCAGAAAATATCAAATATTTATATAATCTACACCTGAAAACAAAACAACAAACCAGGTTTGGGGGAGAAATTTGGAGTTTTGGTGATAATATTGTTTACTTGTTGACTGCACTGACATATGGCTTCCTTGTCGGCAACTGCCTGGCAAAGAGCCAAGTCTTGTTTATTTAAAAAAACACTATATTACAGCAAAATAAACATGCAAACATTGAAAGGTTTTGTCTATTAATAAGACTATAACTTTATTGATGCCATTCCATAAAACATGCACGCTCTCTACAAAGATTTACATTACACTGAGCACACTTATACACACTTTCAAATGTTCTTCCCAACGCACGCTTCCTTCCAGCTTTTGCACACATCACACACGCTCATTTTCGCTCTGAAGACTTCACTAAGCTATGGCCCTTGACATTTCTACCCACTGGAACATCTTTTTTACGGCTAGTTGGATCACTAGAAATTCTCTTGTAGCCGTTATAGGTCGAAATAAGTTGCCTTGCCAAAGCAAGACGGAAATCTAAATGTTTTAGGCGACGGTGTCGATCGGTCTGCAAATTTTGCAAAATAAAACTGTTTACAATCAAAGTATTCACGAAAGACCAAGCCAAATATTTCCACCACTTTTTAGATTGAGCTCCTACAGGGTAGTAGCTCCTATATTGGTCGTTTACATCGACACCGTTCATAAATTTATTGTAAAAAGAAATGACGGCAGGTTTTATGCACAAATTTTCTGGAACAGCATTTCTTTTAGCTGTGCGCTCATCCAAAGGGCCGAAAAGTTCAGGCTGTGGATCGACATTGGTCGATAAAATCGTCACTAAACGCTTGTCCTGCCATGTCATGCAAACTAAGTTTTTATTTTAGTTTTTATTTTGTCGTGTTCGAATCTCACCGCGTTTAAGTTTTATCTTTTTCAAATCGGCCGGAAATTGTTTCCTATTATGGCGCAAGGTCGAGCATGCGTAAGTTTTATTTTCAAGCAAATGTTCGAGTAAAGGAACCGAGGAAAAATAGTTATCAAAATAGAAGTGACGGTAAGTATTATAGTAGGGTTTTCCCAGGAAATCAACAACTTTAAAACCGAGACCTCGCGCCCCTTCCGCATCATTTTCATTGACATTTTCGGCATTTTGTTGTTTACCTAAAGTAAACTTGAAAGCGCGGCACGAAGTAAGTTTCAGAATCGGCTTACATCCAAACTTTAATACCAAATTTATTCGGTTTTCCAGGCATATATTGCTTGAAAGATAAACGACCATTAAATTTAACCCAACCTTCATCAATCGAAATATTTTTTCCAGGCACATAAACATCTTGAAAAGCTTTTTCGAGCTTTGAAATAAGGGGCCGAATTTTTGCAAGTTTGTCTGTTGGATTTTCTTGCCGCGGGTCCGAAATATGAAAGTACCTATTCAAAATCCAAAAACGTCCGGAAGGCATTTTTGTTTTAAAGCCGGCATTCCCTAAGAACAAATCTGAATCCCAATATAGTTTAATTTTTGGTAGTCTGTTAATTCCCATCAAAATATTTAGACCAAAAAATGCAGACATTTCATCGCGGTCAGCTGTAAAATTTTGATCGTTGTGATTTGAATGCGCATACGAAATTGTAGCATGCACAATGTGATCGAAAAAGTGATCGCCGAAAAACAAGTCGAAAAAGTCCTTTCTACTACTTAAATTATCTTTCCATTAAAAAATATCATCAAAACCATTGCTACTTATCTCGCTTCCACTTTCGCTCACACTATCGCTGTCGAGTTCTTGAACTTCGATGTCCGAAAAACCGTCAAAATCCTCTTCGTCCGAGTCGCCCGCTATGTCTCGCCATGAAACCGTCGATGTTTCCGCTGCGATTGGCCGTGTTTCTTCAACCGTTTCGTTCATTAAAAACCCCTCGAAATCGCTTTCGTCCTCACTACTCTCGAACATACGAAGTGCTTCAGCTATAATCAAAAACTTTTCGCAAAAAAAATTTTAAAACGCTCGTAACTTGGACAATATGAACTGCACAAGCTTACACGAGGTCTCATTTGAAAGAGCGGATTCGGGTGTTTTTATAGGTGCCTGTTGCTAGGCAACAGGGAATGCATATCATTCGCTATTGGCCAATGAAATTGACGTGTCACTCAGGGCGCATGAAGGCGCAATGAGACTTACCCTGTTCCCAATTCCAGGGCGCATGGGGACACAATAAGACTTAATGAGTTAATGGAAATTAAAAAATGGATTGAGGAACATTGTGGCATCTGCGAGCTTGGTTTCACTTGTATGAAAGGTGTTAAATCATCAGGTATATAAATACCCTACTTTGGTATTTACTCTGTATAAAGCCAGACAATTTTACTCGTCCATAGTGGAGTATTGCCGGTAAATGGGTTAATTTTATTGTATTCAACAACAACAACAATTTATTATACCCATAACTTACACACATAATCATATATAAATAATATTAATATTTGTGATGTTCTCCAACCCTCGAAATTCAACTATTTTTGCCTCGGCAAATAATTGCCAAGTCTTTCGATAATTTTCGAGTTTGCCTCGGCAATTTTTTTTGCCGAGGCACACAATGAAATCACCTTAAGTTCCTTCGGCACCCTTCGGCATTCTTAAAGTAAAGTACTTACGGAAATTATTGTAATCAAATATTATGAGCGTAGATTCTGACGGTTGACAATTTGTTGTTATTTTACAATTTCCTGATTCAAAATGTTTTTAAAAAGTTTAACAACAAATTGTATGAAAAAATAAACTTAAGACGGTAATCACACGACAGTCTAAAGACGGTAATCACACGACAGTCTAAAAGATAAAACAAAGTTTCTCGATGTGTCGTCTTTAAACCATCAAGATTGTTCTTTATTTCAGCCGAAGCCGATGCTGAAAACCTGTTTGGAGACAGGTATCACGTTTGGATATTTTCAAGGAAGGAAGATACGTGCAAGATAAGATTAAGAACTCTCTTCGCTCCTTCACTTATAATTATATTGATCTTGACTTGAAGGAGTTTAAGCTAGGGCGCAAGAAGATAAACAAACTAACCGAAACTTTTGCCATCCTTAAGCCTGACAAAGGAAATGGCATTGTGCTCATTGATCGCTCTGATTATGTAATTTCCATCAAATCTCTTTTTTCTGATTTCTCTAAGTTTAAGAAATTGGATTATGACCCGACATTACCTAGACTTCATTCTTTACAGAACTACCTACTTAAACTTCACAAACGTAATGAAATTACTGACAAACAACTTGACGCTCTAAGACCTATGACAGCACATTTTGGCAGAGCACATAGCTTGCCAAAGACTCACAAGACTCTCAAGACTAACACTTTACCCAAATTCCAACCAATAGTTGACACTACTAACATTCCACACTACAACGTTGGAAAATTTATCTTCTTTACTAAATCCTCTTACTTTAAATGATCATTCTCTTTCTGATGCGGTGACCAATATTAACAAATTTCCCAAACATTTGTTTCAAGAAGGCTAGCAGTTCGTTTCTTTCGATGTTGAATCCCTCTTTACCAATGTTCCACTTTCCCACACAGTCAAAATTATTCTAGATCGCATTTATGAAGATGGAATTAATTACAACCACAAAAAACGCACTTTGAAAAAACTCATTTTGGATTGTTGCAACAAAACTGCCTTTTCTTTTGACAAGCAAATTTATGACCAAAAAGATGGTGTTTCTTTGGGTTGTTCATTAGGACCTGTCTTAGCTAATATAATTTTAACTGAATTTGAAAGATTAATAGTTTCAGAGTTGATTGCCGATGGTACTATAAAATTCTATAAACGTTACGTTGATGACACTCTTGTTTTGATAAAACCTTCCAATATTTCCGCCGTTTTAGCTAAGTTCAATAATTTCGATCCGAACTTAAATTTCACAGTTGACACATTTTCTGATAGTGTAGTGTTAGAGATAAAAGTCTCAGTTGATGGTACTGACATTTATCATAAGGACACCCACACCGGTCAGTATTCACATTTTTCAAGTTTTGAGCCTTTTCGTCGCAAAACTGCATGGGTAAAATCTCTGTTCTACCGGGCTTTTAAAATTTGCAGTTCGAAAACACTTTTCAACAATCAAATTGAAACCATCAAATCTTTTATGTCTTGGAATGGTTATCCTAATGGCATTAGAAACTTTTTGATTAAAAAGCATAAAACCAAATATATTGATAATTCTACTTCCGATGCCGTTAATCATGACACTGATGATGATATGTTGCCTAAAATTTGGATTCGTATTCCTTATCTCGGAAACCGTGGC